ATATGTGACATAGGGCAGGCATATTATATATCAAGGTAATGTTTTAGGAGCAGTAGGTCTCCAACAGCAAATTGTAAACTTCTAAAAAAATAGGGTTGGCGTAATTTTTAAAGCAGTGTGAAGTGCTCAAACACCCATTTAAACAAAGTGCCAATTAACATATCTCATGATCACTGAATTACTCCTATATTTCGTCTTCAGACCCTGAGACTAGAGTAACGGTAAATTTGCTAAAAAACTGCTTCCATTCCAAGTTATCATATTATTTGGGTTTTTTTGCCATAATGCAGCACCAAAACTTGTCATCTCTGTTTTGTTACAAGAAAGAGTAAGCTATCGCCTTAGGTGCTCTGCTTCCTACGAAAACCAATGAGCACAGAATAATATCACCTCTGATTAGAGCACCTATTCCTTTTTGTTTATTATTATTTCTCCTCGCTTCTTCACTTGTTTTAACTTTTGTTATGGCATTATTTTAAGCTTAATTCAAAATAAAAAACATGCTGTATTCTTGGAGCTTCTATACTTGATAACTTTTGGCATTCAAAAAAGGAGAGATTATTTCCTCAGACTGATCTGCTAAAAGCCCAAGAATCTTGAAAAATCTCCAAAAATGCTGGGGATAGTGGGCATCACATAAAAGCAGCCATTTACTGCCAAAGGGGATAGACTTCATCGACTTTGGTTTTGCAAGTCTCTGCACCTATTAGAGTATAATGCTTTTATTGCATTTGGTAATGCATTTAGTGATCCAAAGCAAAATGAAGCGAATGGAAGAACTCCCAGAGGTTTCAGTGAGCTTTGAATGAGACTTTTTTTCCACACAGATTGCTCCCTGGGGAAGGAACAGGCATTCATTAAGCACTGAGCATTGAAGTAACACAATATGAATTTTATGCAACTGTGTAAAATACAGTTGCTATCACTTATTTGACTTAAAGTATCCTAAATGTTTTGCTTTACAGCATTAAAAGTAATTCATTTTCTTGAACTGTTATTGCTAAGGTTTGATTTATATGAGTGGTTTAAGAAGAAAGCAATCTGAAAAATACCCAATTACTATCACAGCAGAGAACTCATTATTCCTTCAAACGTATTTTTGAAAATGCTTTAAAATATTTTATTCTGTTGATTCAACAAAAAGGAAGCTGTTTAAAAATAAACAGAATGGCAGGTGAACGGTCAATCAATGCTTGGAAGAAAATAGCTGTTTTCTAACACTTCTCAACAATTCCATGCTATTGTACCTTGATCTCCCCCCCTTTAGTCCCCATGCATATACACAGCTGGGACTGTAAAACATGTAGTGGCATATTCTATGTCTCTGTGTCCCTTATGATGCCCAGACATCCCTCAGGCCTTATTTGGATGAGCACATGCTGCCTTCTTTGTGGCGTGGGTCAGATAATTCCAGAAAGCTTTGGATCTAGTCATGTGCCAAGTATTGCATGGATGAATGGTAGGTTATGTCAGATTCCTGATTTGTGTGCCATAGAGTTTCTCTGCATAGAAGCAGTCCAGCAACCCCTAGGTGCAAGAGAGCTCTCAGGCTCACACACAAGACTCGCATAGAAAGCTCAGTTTCCTGGAGGTTTCACTGTGGATGTGTGGTCACGCTGATCACCCAGCTGGCAACTGGGATTTCTGCTCAACTGGCTGACTGGCAAGAACTGCTGTTGTAGCTGGGTGCATAAACATTTATCTAGCCAAAGTCTGCAAGTGGAAAACGATGACACAACCAGAGGAATATGGATGTAGAATATCAGATGTGGGTAAGACTTATACACATGGATGTGTGGGAAAGGGAACTGATCATAGGAACTCTGCTACTTCAGACCACCATTCCTTGCTGTCTCAGCAATGGATTAGCCAAACTGGAGGGAGGGTCTTCAACCGCAGCTTTCTGGATGAGTTCCTTAACACCCTCTAACACATCCGGTAAGGGTAACTGTGGTCACAGGACCCCTCACTAGTCTTCTGTAACAAACACAAAAAATTTCATCACTAAAAAGGAGGTTGAGAATCTGGTGAATATCTGCAGATTCTATACAGAAATTCATTATTTCATGAAGGAAGTGGGATGCGGTATTGCTCAGTTTATACTTAAACTGTAGAGGAAGAACACCTTCCTGTTTTCTGAAACAGGCACTGCAAGTCTGCCTTCCTAGAACGGTAGATTTGTTGGGCTGTAAATTCTTTTGTGATTTATTCGTACCTTTTGTAACAAAGCAATCAACTTAGTGGAAGAATAAGGGGAAAAATGCATATTGATTTCTTAATTAGTATGTTGTTGATACTGAAATTTTACCCTATATTCCCAGCCAGAATTTCAAAATACTGTGAAGAGAATAACTCTACAGAAATACTACAAAAATTTAACATAGAAATATAATTACATTTCATTTGGAAGAGGCTTTCTAGACGTTTGTCTCGCAGCAAATATGAGCATCAGCCAGAATTAATTTCATTGTTTCATTTCCTTTACACTCCTTCTTGCCTTGTCTTTTCAGCAGTCTCAAGTTTATGCTTAATTTTCAAAAACTGAAAACCTAATATCTGTGTTGTCATGACCTACCATTACGAATTCTGTGTATCAAAATGAGTATTAGTTATTAATATGGAAAAGAGCAGTTTTAAGCAAACAGAACTCTGTCATGTAATGTTATACCGGGGTTGGAACAATGTGTAGGTAATTCTAAACAATACCACTTTCATCATTTAGATAGTAACTTGGAAACTGACAAAAAAACCTCAGCAAGGAAAAGTAATTAGTTCCTTCAAAGTTGGTGAGGTTTGATGCTTTGTTGTCTTTTTGTGGTAAAGCTCTAGTAAAATAAAGAAGAAAAAGAATAAACACTTGGCTTGAGACAGGAGGTAAATTTAAGGTAAAGTTAATTCGTATGTATGTGTGGTAATAAGAACAGGACACAAAGAAGGATGGGGGAAAAAATATAAGTCTTTTATTCGAATCTAGGTTGCTTTCACAAAGCAAAGTTGCTTCTGTTTTTTCAGTACTCTTGCAAAAATAACCCTCCTGTCATGTCTTATTCTGTTAGATATTCATGCTTGGAGCAGTTTTTAAATGGATGTTTTATCGACAGCCTAACTTCCTGTGTCTTGGCAATATGTAGACAGGACTCAGAAAAATGTTCCTTTTAAAGACCGGTTTTGGGACTTCAGCTTTAACACTGATTTAATCCAATTCTTTTCATATTTTTATTTGTAAACACGTTTCAGCTGAACATATTTTATTGAGAAATACAATTTTGTTATTAAGTTACAGATGAGGTTTTAAAAAAGCTAGGTGCCAGCAACAGCAGAAAAAGCTTGCTGCTGCATTATGCAAGGAATCAGATACTAGTGATATGAGACATGTATGTCTATACATGGCCATGCCACTACCTGTGCACACAAAGCCTGTTTTGAAGCACTTCGGTTGTGGTCAGTCCCATATTTCTTCAGGCACCTGAGTCACCTGAGGTGGGAGTCAGCTGGCAGGTATGCTAGCATTTACTTAGAATCATGTTTTTAGGTCAACTGAAGCACCTTCACAAGACCCCACAGGGATTAACTCACGTATATAGAGACCAAAGCTGTAAAGTACAGCTCAGCTGAATTATACAGTGGAATTGCACAAATGGGTGTAGCCCGATTGAAATAAGTGTGCTGGGCTCTTTAGTGAGGTACTTTTCCTTAGCACCTATCTTCTGGCAAAGCAGCAGAGCAGAAGACGCTAGGAGAGGATGGTGTAGGGCCAGAGCATCATCATTCTCTGACAGCTACTGAGATAAAAGTATTTAATCGTGAGGCTGGAGAAGAATCTCTCCTATAGTCATATTGCCACAGTCAACATGGTCTGAATCTTCCCATTTCTTCTACTCAGCAGAAGCCCAGAAAATTGTCCAGCAAATACTTTTCTACTCAAACAAGGCAGAATACAAAAGGGAGAAACATTTCAGCTGGATGAAAAGTGTATGACAAAAAGTCTTTCTAAAGCTTTAGCACTTGGGGAGTGCTAATGCTGCAGATCTTCTTGGCAGGGTATGTTTGCCCAGTTGGAAATCTGGGTGGAAATCACCACTGCAGTGATTGTACCACCTCTAATTCTCAAGTCAGATAATCTGAAGGAAACTGGGAGTGTATCAGCATGGAATCGTGTTGTACCATCCAGACACATTTTTCAGTGATTCCAAATTTGCAGTCTGCAGAGCCTGCATGCTCCTTGCCAAGACTATCTCTTTGTTGACTTTCTTTTCAGAGTGTTCACTTAGTAATATTGACTGATATGTCTTAAATGTTAACAAAAAATTGATTTGAAATTCTGGGTTAATATATGAAAGGCTTTCAGTTTGCATGGAAAATTATACATATCTCCAAGTGAAAAAGTGAAGCTGAACCAACTGTTGTAGTCACCAGATTTTTAAGTGATGCCTCCTCATTACCAACAGAAGAGTAACACAATCTGTGCAGTGTTTTAAGTTGCTCTATATATGTTCCATTTGGACAAATTACAGTACGAGAGTATGAGTAGTGAGACTAAATGTGATACTGAGGGTAAAGTGGAGCAAAATACAACATGCTTTTTGGAATGCATCGTGATTTGTACAAACAGTCAGAATTTGTGCTTTTATTGCTGCTAGAGCAATTTTATGATCCCAGTCCCTGTGATGCTGGACTGCTGTAAAGAGGACTCTTCAGGGAGTACATCTTGTGACTTCCTTAGACTATTGTAAACTGATCTACCTCTGAGCTTTCTTCCAGAAAACTGTACAAAGCCTGAGCATGCACATGAAATTTGAACCCTCTAGCCATCCCGCAAAACAGCAGAAAATTTCCTTAATCCAAATGCAAGGGCATTACAACATTTTAACATCACACTGCTACCACTTTCTCCTGTATTCTTATCAGATGTATATTTACACAGAACTTACAGAAACTTCAAAATTAGTACAAATATTTCTACTTAATAACAAATAGGTGGTACATAATGATTTCCTTACTTTTGGGAGGGAAGCTCTCGATCCTGAACTTTGCGTAGTCATTGTCAAAACTGTAGTGATACCCAGAGCAACTCTAGCTGGAGCAGCATCCATGTTGATCCAGAAAGAAACCCAGGACAAAATGACAATCAGCAGGCTAGGAATGTACATCTGGATTAAATAGTATCCCATCTGACGCTCCAAATGAAACTTGACTTCAATGCATGTAAACTTTCCTAGAACATGAAATTACTTTCATAAATGCTTTTTGCACATTTTTATCTTGTTTTCTGAACAGAAGTTAGATGCTTTGCCTAACCTAACACTATAAGCAGGTCCTGATACACAAATGCAAGTCAGCCACTTGTTGTACACTAGCTTGGGAGACGCATGGGACTCCTGAAGCAGACTGTGCCCAGTTCTTCACAATAAATGAGAAAATGAAGAGTAGCACAGTTGTTTCACCTCTGAAAAGTATAATGTGATGCTTCTTCTTGCAAATTTTCATAAGATTTCACTTTAGTCACTATGTAAGGTTTAGTATTTAAAGGTAACAACATTTTTCTCTTTTAGTTACATGAGATTAGCAAACATACTTAAAGAGACAAATTGTAAAAAATCAGTCTTACAGTCCTATGGTAGATCACACTCCTTCTTATTCTGGTCATGTAATTTGCCTTTGTCTATGGATTGTTTCTCACAGCAGAATCAGCTCAAAGCCTGCTTTGAATTTTGCCAAAAGTCTAACTTCAGGAAACCCACAACCGCCTCCTGTGGGAGGTGAGTGATCCTTCAAACAGCAGACAGCTGCTCCACAAGGGTAGAGGAGGACAGAAGTTTAGGATTGCACCCCCCTGACAGTGGGGCTGGTGATGCAACTGAGAATGCAGAGTCCTGAGTTGCAACAGTTCATCAGCTACTAACCCCATCACTCTGTGCTGCTCTCTCAAATGGCTGTGTACCATGACTGTGGTTTGGGTGCTGTGAAGGCTCTCACTTGTGGTAGACTAATCCAAGTGCAAAAATGGGGTCTCATTTGTGTTGGTTGGTCAAACACATGAAGATGCATTGTTCCTTGTTCATCCTTTCAGGTGAAAGTAATTTTTTTTCTCCTTGTTGTGATGCAGACATGTTTTTTTGCTAGTCTAGAAAGCTGAATGGCAGGATGCGAGAGCTTGCATACAGGACAGTGCAGAGGTTGTTTGGCAAAGAGAGGAGGGGAGAAGAACTGAATAACATCTTTTGGCAGGACAGAAGTTCATATATGAGTGGCCTGACCAGTTGAGTAGCCTGACCTGTGACCCTGATGACAGACTCTGAGACCTGTATAGCAACTGATCCTTACTGGTCTGCCCATACAGGAGGGGACTCAAAAGGTGCGGGGTGGCCACGAGCAGCAGCAACGGCGTTAGAATAGCCCAATCTGTCACATGCTCTCCATATTCCTGCCATGCCACCGGGACAGAGACTCTTGCAGTGTGGGGAGGAGGAGGAGGCTGGATAACACAGCTTTTATCCACGTTCTCACTTTACAGCAAACCTGAAGGAGCATGCTATAGGGAAGACAGGAATGTGGGTGCCTGTGGGCAAAATTTTCTTTTGCTTGAACACTGCTTTTCAGTTTCCCTGGCCAGGCCACACACTTTTAACTTTTGGTAATTAGACATAAATTTTGTTTAACTACGTGTAGTGGGAGTTACTAATTGGAAGTTTTATCCTTTGTGGGGAGTCTTCATGGGTATACAAGGAAGCTATTGCTCATGCTCTCCCCCCCCCCCCCTTTTAATTTCAGTGTTTGACCCTGCAAAACGGTTATTAGACAGTAATTAGAAACACAGACACATTCCTTACTCAGAGTTTGAGTTACGTGCTGGGAAATGGCTAAACTTTATATCATCCAAATTACAAATGGGTAAGCTCTGTCTATCGGAATTTACTATTATCCCCTTGAAGTGTGAGAAAAGATGAGAAGTCACAACAGTCCACCTTTCGGGTCTTGGACTGTGGAATCACAAAGTTTTCCTTCCTCGGCACTTTAGGCTCCAAAATGAGAGGTTGAATTTGTAAAAAATAAACCCAATAGTTTTCATAAGAAATGAATGTCACGTTTTTGGCAGAGGTAGAACCTCTCACATAGTGTTATTTCACATAGTGAAACAAATGTATTTGATGCAACCAGACTGGCTCTTACACTGAAATGATGAAAAAGCTATTTTAGATGAGGGATTATATCTAATCTCAGCAAGCACCCAGCAAACCTTTCTCTAAATGCTGTCCCTGTTAAATAAACTCCAAGCAGCTAAATCCAAATTTTGACAGCATTCTTTCTGCTCTGCAAAGCTAAAGATAGAAAACACAGCACTTGAAACTTCAAAAACGCAAATATAGGAAAAAGATTACAGTACTAAACTGATGTTTAATTTCCCAACATTTCACTTCTGTATACTATTCAGATCAAAAATGAAAGCATTGTCTTTTCACATACCACATTTCATAAATGAGACCACCCATAAAAGCTGGTGAAAATGTCATATTTTTCCTCACTGGCACATTGATATGCTGGAGAAATAAATCCATTTCAAAAAAATCAGTATTTTAAAAGTGCTGAATCAATATTTAAGAAAAGATTCTGTTTGTTAAAAAAGTTTAATTTTAACAAAATCAAAACAACTGGATTTTTTAATTATTTTTTTAAGATTTTAAATTCCTTAATGATTTTAAGGCTATTAGAATATGTATATTCGATTAGCTTTAATGAAATTAAAGGAAATTTGGAAACAAAATCTTTCAGACAAACAAAAATAAAAGGGAGAACATTTCATTTTTCAGATTTAAAAATAAGTGTGACTGAATCAAATTCTAATTTTTATTTTTTTTATTTTACCCATTTTTCCCTTTACAAATGATGATAGATACCATTAGAGAAATTAATAGGAAAAAATAGAATAATGCTCACCAGTGTTGTAATGTTTTGTGCAATAACCAAGTTCTTTATCTTCTTTCAAAATAAACTGTGGCAAGGTTAAACCCTCTGCAACTTGCACAGGTCCATCACTTAACCACTCAAATATCAGATCATTCATAGTGTAGCCAACTAAAATGAAGAAATCAGAGTTCATTAGATGGTAGCTAACTGGATAACACCAAAAGCAAATATTATTATGTCTGAGAAACTTGTCTGTTATTGTAACACATGTTATCTCAGTTATAATTTTAAACTCTCTAATTAATAATGGCACTATTGCCGTTAGTTAACAGTTACTATTACTGCACTATTACTCTATTAAGAGCAGCAAGTAACACCATTGTGTTCTGAAATACTGTCCTGGTTTGCCACTAAAAAATTATTTTCCTGGCACATCAAAGGTACTGTTTACAACTGTAAGGACATCTCTCTGTCCCTATGTATCAGCCTGCATTTTGCTTTATTTTCATCATTCTTTGACAACGCAGTGGGTGGGCACCAACTAAACAAGCATTTCTAGACTGTAGGATGCTGGGCCCTTGCAAAAAAGAAAACTTCAGCTTTTGTAGCCTGTGAACTTACCACTGAAAAGTGTGGAGGGGAAAGAGGGAGGCTTTGACTCACTGAATTCTCTTTTTGACTGCAATGGCTACATGTTTATGGGTAAATAAGCTGTGTGCTGAAACACTTAAACAAGGTGCGTGCTGACAGCGACACAGTAGGGATGAGTGTGTGTCGGTACCCAAGTCCACGCCTTGGCCGTGTTTATCTTAAATTTATTTATAAGTGTATCTATAGTACCTTCATCAGACATGTTGCTACCATTTTTCAAAAGACCATAGCATGTCTTAATCAAGCATACCTAATACCTGGCTGCGTACTAATTGCTCTTACTTTCCTGAGATTTAATTTCTCCTGCACAGCTTTGCTGTTGTGATCCCTGGAAGCGATGCAGCCCACATCTAAAGTGAGAGGTGATGCGCCCCAGGAGCGGAAAAGGGAAGGGAGCAGGAACAGCACAGAGACAGGGGACCCACACAGTACGGTGATGGACAGTAAAAGGTCTGTTCCTCCCTGATTTTCCCTTACAAATTGGGAATGTTGAGTCCCACCACAAAAATACAAAAATGTAGATACTATCTAACCACCCACTTGTTCTTCGATAGATAAAGCATTTAGACACTCACAGCTCTCTAGCTGCATTGTACATGTCTGTACATCCATAGGAAAATTCTTCAAGTCCATGGGACAGGATAAGGTTAAAGTAAGCCTAAAACCAGAGGAGGAAGAAAAAAAAAGAAGCTATTGTTAGAAATATACAGATTTTACCCAAAGCCGCATGTTTAGAGTTTGAAGGATCAAGACCAAATCTTAACACCTCAGAAGCTGGACTCACTCTCCCTTCAGAGCTTTTAAGGGCATAAGAGCTGTGAAGACAGAGCGGGTAAGCAAACCAGGCGCTCGCTGGCTGCATTGTCTGAGCAGAACACGACAGAGAAGACGACAAGATCACAAGAAATGCTCTCCGCTAATGTACCAGTGAATGTTTTATGTATAATATTGAACCCAAATAATTGAAAAGCTGAAATGGTTGATCATGAGGCACAAATTTTTGAGCTTTGTTTTGGAAAAGCAAAGGAAGGAAAAACAACCACCAGATTTTTTCAACAGAGAGTGATTTTGTTGTATGTGATGCCCATTTCCAACCTTTCGTTCTCACTGCTTAGCCATTAAAAGAAAGAAAAAAAAATGCCATAAAGTAAAAGCTATAATCACATAGCATTAAAAGATAAAGAGTACAGACAGAATAAAGTAAGCGTGAAGGAACTTCATCATACGAACTAAATTTCTTTATTAATTTTTCAGTTGTTATTGTCCCAGATAAAGCATAATTTTATTTGGATGGGAATATTCTTAATATTACTTTCTGTCTTTTTTTTTTTTAAGTTTCATTTACTTTTTCACATTTGATTGACATCTGTTTCAAGAGTTCTCCTTGGCTTTGTTTCTTTTCTTGTTTGTGCGGGGACAAGAAAGAATTTTTAACAAACCAAGATACCAGGATGGCATAATTACAAAAATCTGTCTGCTTTGAAAAATAGATTTGTTAAGATTTTGATTTAAATAATATAGAAAGAGTACATTTTCATTTCAGTTTACCTTCAGCACAAAAAGCACTTTCACATAAAGAAAGCAAATAAATAAATACCTCTGCACCTATTTGCCATAAATGACGAGAACTAGATTGTCTGATTTGAAGGTACAGTGAAACATTAACACAGTATAATGAGAATATTTTTTTAATTTTGCCAGGGAACTCACAGGCCAGCTGCTAGCCTTGAAAACATGTTCCACAGACAAATGTGATGTCCTGCCATCAAATTACTGTGACAACAGGATGATATTTAGGTAACTGCGATCAAAAATGTCTCAGTCTGATAAAAAATCACATTCAGTATCACTGCTTTTGCCTACTTTTTGTGGGCTACTTAGAAAAAGTCATGTTATTTTCGTCTTGACACAGTCTTCAGTGTACAACATGATAATATCAGGCAATTAGAGATCATTTGTCTGTGGCAAGGAAGTGCAATGAGATGAAGAAAAGCCCGCAGTAGTCCTCTCAACACCACCATAGTAAATAAACTCCCATTTAACCTTTGGGAACAAATAGTATAAGCATTAAAAAAAAAAAAATTAGTTGTCTAGAGAAAAAAATGTATCTTGTAGACATATAAATGTCATTGAAAATCTGCCCTTTACTCATTTAAATATTTTAAGTGTCCTGCAAATGCTGACTAGTTTCATTTTTACCAGGTAATTTCCCGCATTAAAGATTAAGCTAATTAAATTGCTAATCCCGAGTATTAACAAAAGACGGCTTCTGCCTTTATTTCTGAAATGCTGATATACCAAACCCTCTTCCTTCTTTTCAGTCATCTGCTAAATATGGCCTAGATATTTTAAGTTCATTTCAAACATGCCTTTACGAAAATGTGGCCTTTCTAAACATGTAATTTGTTTGTGTTCTTTGAAGTAGGCATAGTCTACCCACCCCTCAGGTTTTACTAACTGTCAGGTGTGGTTTGCACGCTGACTTTTTTTTCCTTCCACCTTCTTCCCTTTCTGCTCCCCAAAACTCTCAAAGAATCTGGGGAGTTGACTACGTACATGGGCAGGGGGATCTCTTTTATTAGTCTACTATCAAACTTGTGAGAAAGCAAATACATCCAGTTGCAACTTTCAAGGAAAAAAATTAATCTAGCTCCACTGATGCTAGGTAGATATATATCTTTTTCTTTTATTTTGGAGGTGAGCTGAGAAAATGCTTGTTGTGTTAGTTAACATACAGGTTGACATCTCTTCTCTCTTTTCCTGACCAACCATGTCTTTCAGGAAGACTAAATTATTCTCTGCTTAACCTGACAAATGGAAAATAATTACTGTTCACTGCATTGATGAGGCTAGCCTGAGAGATCATGCACTTCTAGCTTTATCTCTACTTGTTGTTCATGCCAGTAGAGTAGTCATTCAAAGTTAAAAACTTTGCCTCTGCAATCCCTTTTTCTAGGACTAACGCAAGTGTTGAACCCAATGCTTATTGCCTGGGATTATCCAGAGATCCATAGATTTTCAACAAGATTACTATATGCTAAATGTTCAGCTGCTGGAGTCTGAAATAGCTTCACTGAAGTCCATGATGGGGGACAATTTATAGCAGTTGACCCATTTTCAGTAAAAGTATGATCCTGCAAGTGTTTCCAAAACCCAGGTGCCATGTCACTACTTGGATATTTATATTAACATGGAAACAGGATCCGAAATGGAAAGTGTTAGGTGGACGTAGCTACCCACATTACCTATAGTGTCATTGACAGAAAATGTTTCAGAAAAATGAACGTCTCACACTTGGCAAATTCAAGAAGGGCCCCTGGAGATTTGGTGCAAAGTGCAAGTTTAACTGGCAATTACATTGACGAATACTTTAATCACTAATAGAACAGAATAAACTGCTATAGAACAAGGATTTTATTTTTCAGGCACTCCGTCACCAAGGCTTTTGAAATGCATAGACAACAGATTTGGTGACGTAGCATCATAAAACACTGATGGGAAGAGTTTCATGAACAATCTTTAAAGCTGAAAGGATAAGAAGCTGACCAGGGACTTTATTTTGTGTTCAGTCACCTGAGCACCCTTTATCCCCTGTCAGCCAGGCTCAGATCACACAATTCGCTCACGGAGAGCTCTGGGGTTGGACATGTTATATTTTCCAGCTGAGCAGAGAGGGGTCATGAGGAAGCGGGAGAAAGTCACATCTCCAGCACCCCAGAATTTCAAGCACAATGCCAGGACCAGCAAACCGCCCCAGCTGAAAGGCAAAGTTGCTCTCTTCTTTTCCTCTTTCCCCTGCTCCCTCACCCATCCCACGGTCAAGAAAGAATGGAGCCCTGGAAAAATGCAAATAGAGTATGAACGGAACAAAATACAGAATCAGAGCCAGAAAACAAAGAACGAACAATTAGCCAGCACGTGACAAAAATAATAAATACATAAATCAATGATATTCCTAAGAAACGCTGTGGCAGAGGCGGGGCTGTAATCCAAGTACTCCAGGACAGCATTACCTGTCTTAAACTTTGGACCCTCTTCCTGAGGTTTCTCTCATATACTAGGTAAGTCCCTTTGAGCAGCATCTGCTGATACTTTAAATGCCTTCACAGTGCAATGAGCACTGCTGGGATTTATTCAACCAGCATTTCATTCAACTCCCCCTCTTTCATCTCCTAGTTTCACCAGAACATCCTGAGAAATCACTTAGACTTGGGCTGTTGGTCTGTCCCTCTTCTCACCCTAGCTCAACATCTTTCATTTCTGGTCACCCTGGAAATCGCCTTACAACACCATTCTGAGGACTGTATTTCCCACTTCTGCAGGCGGGAAGGCAGAAGTCCTGCAGGCTGTGGCCTCCTTTGTCACAGAAGCCAGAATAAAGCATCCTGCGGGGAAAAAAAAAGTAGCCTGACAACATGTTATTAACCAGAAACCCTCATGCTGGTGATCTTCAACACCAGAACACTTTGTTTTGCAGCCTCAGCATTTTTTCCAGGTGGAAGCAGATGGGCCAGCAGCAGAGCTCAGCACAGGCAGTACCACTGCCCTAAACATAGTGTTTGTAGCCAGGAATCATCCTCCGAGAAAAAGCCAGTGGAGGAGGGTGACATAAACGTGCAGCCAAGGGAACTCAGAGGTGTTTGTGTGCAGTGCAATCAAATCATAGAATCATAGGTTGGAAAAGACTTCGAAGATCATCAAGTCCAACCATCAACCCAACAACACCACGCCTACTAAAACATATCCTGAAGTGCCACTTCTACACATTTTTTGAACACCTTCAGGGATGATGACTCCCCCGCCTACCTGGGCAGCCTATTCCAATGTCTGACTATTCTTTCAGTAAAGATTTTTTTCCTAATATCCAATCTAACTCTCCCCTGTCACACCTTGAGGCCATTGCCTCTCATCCTATCACTAATTGCTTGGGAGAAGAGACCAACACCCACCTCACTACAAACTCCTTTCAGGTAGCTGTAAAGAGAAATAAGGTCCCCCCTCAGACTCCTCTTCTCCAGACTAAACAGCCCCAGATCCCTCAGCTGCTCCTCCTAAGACTTGTTCTCCAGGCTCTTCACCAGCCTTGTTGCCCTTCTCTGGACACACTCCAGCACCTTAATGTCCTTCTTGTAGTGAGGGGCCCAAAACTGAGCACAGTACTCCAGATGAGGCCTCACCTGTGTCGAGTACAGGGGCACGGTGGGTGGTGTCCTCCCGCCCCCTCCTCCCAAAGCCTCTAGCATTGCATGGGGTGGTTGTGACCCAAGTGCAGGACCCAGAACTTGGCCTTGTTGAACTTCATACAGTTGGCCTCAGCTCATTGATACAGCCTGTCCAGATCCCTCTGCAGAGCCTTCCTACCCTTGAGCAGATCAACACTCCCACCCAACTTGGTGTCATCTGCAAACTTACTGAAGTTGCTTTCAATCCCCTCATCCAGATTATTGATAAAAATGTTAAACAAGACTGGCCCCAAAACTGAGCCCTGGGGAACACCATTCGTGACGGGCTGCCAGCTGGATTTAACTCCATTCACCACCACTCTCTGCGCTCGGCCATGTAGCCAGTTCTTTATCCAGCAGCGAGTACACCCATCCAAACCGTGGGCAGCCAGTTTCTCCAGGAGGATGCTGTGGGGAGCAGTGTCAAAGGCCTTAC